AGCAGTGAGGCATTGTAAAGATCATTTATTTCCAAGACACCCATGCCTAACATTTCATTAAGGCAGGTGCCCGGTTCACGCCACCATACAGTAAAATGTATGCGACCAAAATCCAGTTCAGTTTCATTGGCGTTCTCATCACTTAACTCCTGATCGAGAGCTAGTTTAACAGCACGTTCTGCCTGTTGACCAAAAGCGTGTACACTGGGTTAATGATTGGAATTTCTCCGATTCGAATTGCATTATGTGGAACATGTCATGGCGTGGCACTTGCTTAATCAACTCATTGGATAGTTGACATTCCACCGTGAAAATGGGTTCCATATCATTTTGTAGCAACTGCATGCATTTGGTGCCCTCTGGCTGCAGAGTCAAAGCCTCCATTTCCAATTTAATGCTATTAATCGATTTGAAGATATGAATTTTGTAGCAGGCAACAAGTCCTCTAAATTATTGGTAAAACTTTGATTTTCCAAATTTAAATTGACTTCGTTTTCTTCCTCACAGTTGGTAAGTTTTGAAGTGATTTCAGTTTCCCCAGCCAAATAGGCCACCAGTTTAGCATCTAATTTCTTCATGGCTTCCACAATCTCTTCAGATTTTGTCTGTGAAGTTAAACGTTTAGGGATGTCACCTTAAAATAGAATAAGAAAAATAATAATTAAAATTATTGTAATATAAAAAAAACATTTAAAAGTTTTAATTAAAGTTTCGTTATTATTTTAATTACAATTCTGCTATTTCTTCTAAAGGATGTTGTTGTGCTTTTCAAAATATCCTTTCTTACCCGCTACAAAAAGTATTCTAAGAAGCTACGTCTGTTCTGTGCAAAGTGTACACGAAAACAATTATTATTTTGCCAATTGTGGACAATACATATAGAGTCAAATTTCCCCACAATTCATTCATTTAATCGTACTCATATGTATGTATGTATGTCGTCTGTCTGTTGATCGCAAATTTTAATCTCTAAATCGTTTTCTATATATACAAATATTTCCCTTCTTTTTCCGGCTAACATCAGCATCACATATGTACTATATATACTATATATACTATATAGTAGAATAATTGTATTTTCTATTATCTCTTATTGTTACTCGTTTTGTGTTATAAATTAAATTAAAAAAAAAAAATCTATTAATTTTTTCAAAGATTAAGTCTCTGTTTTGTTTTCGGTTTACAAATTAAGTACAACTTAGCTAAATACTAAGTAACAAAGATTTTGTTTTAAAGATAAGACTAAACTGAATTATTTTTAATTCAAACCTTTTTTTTAAATCTGTTACTATATAGATAGTATAAGTAATCGCCAGTTCAGAGTCTACTTGGTACCAAGACGTATTTTAACGCATATAAAAATGTAGATTCCTAGTCAAAGACCTCGTCGTTAGCGCGTGTTGATGGGAAAACCTTGTGATGTGAAAGTTTGACTTACTTTTTTTTGATAAAGGAAATGTTGTGAGTTTTTAATGATATCGTTGCCATTGTTTTAAGGTTTAATCCTGGATCATTTTCAAATTTAACTATAGATTAGAACTGAATTAAACTGAATTAAAAACTGAATTAAAAACTGAATTAGACTGAAGTAGAACTGAACTAGATTGAAACTAGAAACGAACTAGAACTGAAACTACGAACTGACTGGAACTAGAACTGAACTAGAACTGAACTAGAATTGCACTAGAACTGAACTGGAACTAGAACTGAACTAGAACTGCACTAGAACTGAACTAGAACTGAACTAGAACTGAACTAGAACTGAACTAGAACTGAACTAGAACTGAACTAAACTTGACTAGAACTGAACTAGAACTGAACTTGAACTGAACTTGAACTGAACTAGAACTGAACTAGAACTGACTAGAACTGAACTAGAACTGAACTAGAACTGAACTAGAACTGAACTAGAACTGAACTAGAACTGAACTAGAACTGAACTAGAACTGAACAGAACTGAACTAGAACTGAACTAGAACTAGAACTGACTAGAACTGAACTAGAACTGAACTAGAACTGAACTAGAACTGAACTAGAACTGAACTAGAACTGAACTAGAACTAGAACTGAACTAGAACTGAACTAGAACTGAACTAGAACTGAACTAGAACTGAACTAGAACTGAACTGAACTGAACTAGAACTGAACTAGAACTGAACTAGAATCTGAACTAGAACTGAACTAGAACTGAACTAGAACTGAACTAGAACTGAACTAGAACTGAACTAGAACTGAACTAGAACTAACTAGAACTGAACTAGAACTGAACTAGAACTGAACTAGAAGAACTAGAACTAACTAGAACTGAACTAGAACTGAACTAGAACTGAACTAGAACTGAACTAGAACTGAACTAGAACTGAACTAGACTGAACTAGAACTGAACTAGAACTGAACTAGAACTGAACTAGAACTGAACTAGAACTGAACTAGAACTGAACTAGAACTGAACTAGAAACTGAACTAGAACTGAACTAGAACTGAACTAGAACTGAACTGA